TCTCTCAGATTTGTTCATTTTGTAATGATATCTTTAATTCTCTAATTTTGGTGGAATATTTTTGTAATTTTTGGTAAAAAGTGATATTTTTGACTTCTTGTTAAAAACCATAAGTCCAATTGCTTTGATATTATTACATATACATGTAGGTACTACATGTGGACCTCTCTCAGATTTGTTCATTTTGTAATGATATCTTTAATTATCTAATTTTGGTGAATATTTTTGTCATTTTTGGTAAAAAGTGATATTCTTGTTAAAAACCACAATCATTTATGGTGAAAAATGATATTTTTGAATTCTTGTTGAAAACAGCAAGTCCCATTGCATTGATACTATGCATATTGTTCATTTTCTAATGATGTCTTCTGTTCTTTAATTGAAATGTGCATTGATAACAGCGGAGCTATCTCAGCCGAGAGGCTGCTTGTTTAAATTCGTGAAAACTAAGAATATCGTAAATAGCCAAGGTATATGGAGTTCATAGTATTCAAAACATGTCAGAGAAATACCGATCAACCCGAGGTTCAAAGTCGTCACTTACGGGGACTCTGGGGATCAAACAGCGATCCAGGATCACTAATTTTTAGAGGAAACACTTTTTTACTGCTTAAAATAGTTAGTTTTTAATATTTGGGCCTATTAAAAAAAAAAAAAAAAAAAAAGGCGACCTGATATTTCATATTTTTTGGTTGGCCGCTGAGGGCAACAAAACAATTTTTGTTTTGGCCTAATATTGAAGGTGTGGTTGGTTCCTGGAATCAACTCTGAATACACTGCTGTTATGATGTCATCAAGTTCATGTGTAAGTTGACCATTAAAAACTTAGTGCGGAGTGATGGCAGAATTTGAAACAAATTATTTACACTGGAACTAAAATCTGAAAAAAAATCCTGCAGGGATCAATAGCAGAAAATGTATTTGACATAGTGTAAAACAAATTAAATTTGAACTAAAGTAAGTAAAGAAAAAACATTTTTCACAGTTTGTTAATGTCAATGACCGCTGCAGCGACAGTGAAAGTAATTTTCATAAAATATGAATGTCATCAAAACTTGTTGTGGACGAGTGAGCTCAGCTATTATGAAGTGACTGGTAACAAGAGTTTGTTTCAGCCTTCCCTGCATTGCTGAAATTTATCATATTTGCTGTCACATGACAAATGCACATAAGTGTTGAATGAAAAATAAGATATTTATTATCTGTAATATTCAATTTATAAAAAATTCATGATTTTTTTTTCCTTTTTAGGTGATGAAGAGACTGATTATAAGATAAAGAAACCTGCATCTTATGGATATGCATTGGGATTATTATTGTTAGCCATGCAGTACTGTGATAATACCAATACAATAATCAACTATGCAACTAAGCTGTCATCTATATGTCCTGAAAATACAGGTGAAGTTCATTAATAATCAATCTACATATTACAAACATGGCTGACTTGAGTTATTTTTGACTCCCGTGTGCAAAGCACAAAAAGGGAGTCTTTGCAGTTAGTGTGTCTGTATGTATGTGTGTGGGGGTGTGTATGTGTGTATGTGTGTGTTCGTGTGTATGTGTGTATGTGTGTGTGGAGGTGTGTGATGTAAGCC